TCATTCAGTAGCTTTTTCTGCAGGCCTACTAGGTGCCAAGCCCTGAGTTTGGGAGGCTGTTGGATTGCGGCCTCAGCTGAGCCTGTGTATGGCTGCCTGTGGCTGAGCCTGGCTTGAGAGAGGGTCAAGAGGGAAGACTGACTCATGAATAATCGAAATTTCCAGCAGTTAGCATGTTTCAGGTTTGGACTTGCCAAATATTTCTCCAGTGACTGTAACAGCAATGGCTCTGGAGTCAAGTGACGTGGGTTCTAATCCTGCCTTGGCTCTTTTCTAGCTGTGTGACCTTGAGCAATTCATCTCTTCTCTCTGAGCCTGTTTTCTCACACATCAAATGCTTTTGGTAAGATCTACCTCTCAGAATGTCTGGGAAGATGGGAGACAAAGTCTGCATTAGGTATGAGTCAAGGACCTACGAAGGTAGATACACAGGCCCATCAGTCCAAAGCTCAGGACATGCCCAAGATTTCACCAGGCTCAAAAAGCAGAGCTTAGGCCAGTGGTCTGGGGACCACTGGGCCTGGGCACCACATCAGCCCCACTGTCACGGGCGCATGCTGAGCCCAACACTACCCTACTTAGAATGGGCTCCTAGGGAGCACCTAGTCCCACCTCCTCCCTGGACAGATCAGGAGGCTGAGCTCCAGAGGGGGCAGATGTTTGCTCAAAGTCACACAGCATGGTGGTGGCCAAGCCAGTATTAGAACCTGGCCTCATAGCACTGAGCCATCTGAAAGACCAAAAAGATGTGCTTAGGGCATGGGCTTTGGAGCCAGACAGACCTAAGTTCGAGTCCCAGTTCTGCAACTTTCATTCATTCAACAAATACTCATTGCATTTCTGGCCAGGCACTGGGCTCAGTGCAGGGGGACACGGGACAAGAGCCACATGGCCCTGGCCCCTCACTGCTCATAGTCTGGTGGAGGACACAGTGCACAAACACCCAATGAATGAGCAAGCTCATCACCTGCTAAGAAAGCCGTGAGGAAGACACAGGGCAGGTCCTTAGAGGAACGAGGATGAGGGGCCACTCAGGGCATTCAGGGAAGGCCTCTCAAGAAGGGGACATATGAGCTGGGCCAGGACACCCTTTGCCAGTCTCCACACGGTTGGCTCCTTCCTGGTATCCAGGCAAGGAGCTGGGAGTGATGGGAGGAGAGGGGAGGCCAGAGTGTGTGGGAGTGTGTGGGAGGGACACAGTCAGAGAGGGTAAAGCCAGATCAGGCAGCCCGGAGGTCACAGCCAGGGGTGTGGCTCTCATGCACAGAACAACAGGAAGGCACTGGAGAGTCTGAGTCAGCCAGTGGTGGGGTTTGGTCCATGTTTTTCAAAGGATCGCTCTGGTTGCTGCCATCTGTGTCACACTCGTTGGCTCTCTGACCTTGGGCAGTTGCTCAAGCTCTCTGAGCCTCAGACTCCTCATCTGTAAAATGGGGTGATCATAGTACCTGACTACATAGACATACAACAATCCACATAGAGCCCTCAGCAATATGCCCCACATATCAAAGTGCCAAACAAGGCTTTGCTTTCTCACACCCCCATCCAGGCTCCCGTCCTCCGCAACAGGCCTCTGCCCAGCTTGAGCCTATTGATCCTGTCTCTGCAGCAACACCATTATTTCTGCACTGCCCTTGGTCATGGGATGTCAAGGCCAAAGCTCATTAAGTTCTAGCCCATCAGAGGTCAGTGGGAGGAGGTCTGTGGAGCCCAGGGATGGAGAATGGCCAGGCCCTGCTCTCATGAGGGTCTTACAAGTAGCCACAGCATCCATCAAAGTCACAGCTCCATCTCCTGGATGCCAGGGACATACAACATGTTCCAATCAGAGGCCAGCAGAGAGGTCATGAGAAGTAATCATTGCTTTGGCTGGCTCCTCCAGCCAGATTTATTATAGCATAAAGAAACCATTTTGCTCCCGGCAGTAACAGGCAGCTGGCCAGTCTGTGCCTGTAGAAATCCTATTTGCGGGGGCCCGGGTGGGTGGAAGTTTCTACTCACACCTGCTCGGCCCGAGGCCCTGGACAGAGCCATGCTGGACCATCCATCTTCCTGTGCTCTGGGCCACTTTGTCCAAAAGGCTACCTCTACCACACTTTTCACAGCATTCAGAAATCAGTGCACAGCTTCAAATTTCCCATGTGGTGTTGCGTTGAGGGGAACCTCAGGCTTTTGACCCCACCCCGACAGGCCACAGAGCAGAGCAGTTGAAGGTCCAGGTGTTGGAGTCAGCCTAAACGTGGGTTCAAGTCCTGGTTCTGATATATATAATGACCAAGTGACTTTGGGTGACATAGGTCACTACCCCAAGCCTCCATGTGTTCACTTCTAAAGTGAAGGGATAGTGAGCCCCACTTGGAAGAGTTATTGTATGGATTAAGTAAGAGATAAAGGATGTAAGGCTATGTACATGGTTTGGATGGCTTCCCCGCCAAATCTCGTGTTGAAATGTGATCCCCAGTGTTGAAGGTGGGGCCTACTGGGAGGTGTTTGGGTCATGGGTCATCTCTCATGAATGACTTGGTGTCAACCTTGTGGTAATGAGTTTTTGCTCTATTAGTTACCATGAGATCTGATTGTCAAGAAGAGCCTGGCACCTCCTCTCTCTTGCTCTCTCTCTCTCACCATCTGACATGCCTACTCCTCCCTTTGCCTTCCACTATGATTGTGAGCCTCCTGGGGCCTCCCCAGAAGCAGTTACTGGTGCCATGCCTTTTGTGTAGCTTATAGAACCATGAGCCAAATAAACCTCTTTCTTCATAAGCTACCTAGTCTCCGGTATTCCTTTACAGTATCGCTAAACTAACACAGACTACAACCCAGTAAGATACTAAACAAAAGATAACGATCATCATTTTTATTACCCAGGGCCTGGGGTATTACAGTAGGAGATATCCTTTATGGAGAACCAATTATGACACCAGGACTATGCTTGCTCTTTTAAAATATGCTTGTTCTCAAGACTGGGCACAATGGCTCAAGCCTGTAATCTCAGCACTTTGGGAGGCCAAGGCAAGAGAATTGCCTGAGCTCAGGGGTTCAAGACCAGCCTGGCAACTTGGTGAGACTTCGTCTCTACAATAAATAAAAAAATAAGCCGGGTGTGGTAGCATGCACCTGTAGTTCTAGCTACTTGGAAGGCTGGGGTGGAAGGATAGCCTGAGCCCAGCAGGTCAAGGCTGCGGTGGCCGTGAGCATGTCACTATACTCCAGCTTGGGTGACAGAGACTCTGACTCAAAAAAAGAAATCAAGCAGTGTAAGTCCTCCAGAAGTGGGAATTTAAAAATATTTCCCCTCTAGAACTCACAACCGATACTGCAAGTAGGTTAAGTTATGCCTGTTGCAGGTGGCCAGGCGACTGTGTGAGGTCACTGACTGGTGGGGTATAGAGCTGGGTGGAGCTTTGGCCTATAGGTGCGAGAGCTGGTGCTCCCCCTAATACACAGCCTGCCTGACCAGCAACCCTACAAGGCCACTGGTTGGTCAGGCATGCCCAGGCCCCTCCTCCCTTCCCTCCCTCTCACCAGCATTGCCAGAGCACTAGCGCCAAGACCAATCCTTTGCTGGACAATGGATACAAGATGACATAGAAACACTCCCTGCCCTTGAGGAGCTAAACACCCAGCAGTGAGAAGAGTAGAGTTGCATCCACAGTGCTTAGCACATGTATGTAGCAGTCAGCTTTTGGTATGTAACAAATGATTCCAAAACCTACTGGCTTAAAAGAAAGAACAATCTACCATCTCTCCCAGTTCTAGGGGCTGGTTGGATAGTTTCTTCTAAGCTTAATTACATGGCTATACTCACCTGACAGGTCAGCTAAGCTGGAAAGTCCAAGACAGCCTCAATCACAGGTTTGGCAGTTGGTATTGACTGATTCATGGCTGCTCTGGTTCTCGTTCATGTCCTAGACAGCTCCCTCATGTGGCAGAACTCCAGGAGGGCAAAAGCAAAAACTGCAATGCTTTGTGAGGCCTGGCATCCAGAACTTACACACCGTCACTTCTGCCTCATTCTATTGGTTAAAACAAGTCAGACTTTATTGTTTAGCCAGTATCTGTGACACATTTGTGGCCCACCAGGTAAGGCTCAGAGGTCAGCTCCAAATGAGGATGAGAGGTCAGTCTTTGCCTTAGCCAAGTGGGATCCTAACTATCCAACTAATTTTTAGCTCAGATGAAAAGATGCTGAATTGTCTGGTCATTAGAATGGATTCTATCCTTTGGTCAATGGAAAAACTGAGACACAGAAAGTCAGTTTGTATATGAATAGAATCAGTGCATCATAGAGCCGCTTTTCCTATGAAGAAACTGGGGCCCAGAAACAGGCACTATCTTGTCCAAGGTCACACAGCAAGTGTGTGACAGCCAGGAGTGACTCGGGTCCCTATCAGCCAACTTGTTCCTCCTTCCTCTCCGCCCCATGATAAAGCTAGGATCTAGGCCTGGGCTGGGCTCAGGCAGCTGGACATCAACCCCAGCAGGGCTGTGTCTTCTCTGTCCTGTAAACTGAGCCCTTTCAGCACACCAGGCACCATGTAAGGCACCTTATCACTATCTCATCTGATCCTAACAGAACTCTCCCCAGTTTACAGATAAGAATCTGAGGCCCAGAGAGGGCAGCTGACTCATCCAAGGTCTCGCAGTTGGTGGGGCCCATCTGCCTGCCACCAAACCCTGAGCCTCTCCTGCTGGCCCAGAAGGAGCTGAACCTGATCCCAGTCCTGGGTGGGATGAGAGGCAGTTCTGCAGCCCTCGGGAGTCTCAAGATGAGGCCCACTGCCTGAGGAAGTGCTTCAGAGGCCTGGGTGAAGGCAGTAATTGGAAGTAACCTGAACGATGCCCTGGTCTACACTCCCACCATTTTACAGATGAAAAAACCAAGGCCAGACCAGAACACAGGCCTCTGACCCCCAGCACAGTGCCCTCCCACTGCACCAGGAGGTTGGGCAGGTGGGCAGGCCCCAGTCAGGCTGGTCAGACACACACAGGGCGGCTCCGTGGCATTCAGAGAGCACGTTTATTTACAAAGCGCTTTACAAACATCAGCTTATGCCTCCCCACAGCCCCCTGCGAGGTAGGTCAGTAGTCATATCTACAGTTTACAGATGGGGAAATCGAGGCACGGAATGGGGGTGTGGCCTGCCCTGTTTTAAAGAGACCTTCCCACCCACCCCTCCCAAAAATAACAAAAGAAACAAAAAAGCACTGATCCTCCATCCCAAAATAACCCCTCTTCCTCAGAACTCTAGGGGTTGTGACCAGCCCTAAGCTAGCACTGCTCCCTCCCCAGTGGGCAACTTGACCAGGAGCCACAGGGACCTCAACCCCAGGGACTGTGACTCAGCCTTGCGGACTGTCACTGGCCCAAGCTGAGCAGGACAAGCCAGTGAAGTCTGAAGCTTACAGGAAGAGAGGGCTGAGATGACTTCATTCTGCGACACTAGGCCAGGTGGGGAAGGAGTCCCACATGGGGCATGGTGGGAATGGGCAGATCCTGGTTCAGGAAAGCTCAGAGCACGTGTCAGGAAAGCAGAAGTGGAGAGGGATGGGGGCAAAATATGCCAGGGGCTGCAGGGGGCAATAGGGCAGGGGAAGGCGCTGCAGGTCCCCTGAGGAGGACAGTCAATGAGTCCCACTGGCATTTCAGGACAGAGCCCAGCCTCTCTAGGGCCCTCGGGGAGATGTCATGCCCTGCTGCACCCTCTGGCCATGTGCAGAGGGGGCCCAGCTAGGTAGAAGCCTTGCCGGCCATGCTCGCTACAGGCCCTCACTCATCTCTGCCAAAGGCTGGATGGAGTCAAGGGGCTCGGCCTGGGTCCCCAGGGCTGGCTGTCCTGAGCCCGTTGCTCAGCCAGGCAGTGCCAGGCCTCTCAGCACAGGCCTGCAGGACCTTATGGAGGTCGGCTGGGGCTGCAGTCTTGCTAAGCTCCCCCTTGGCCCACAGCCTGCCCATGGGACATGGTGAAAGGTCCTGCCCACAGTGGAAGAGGGACCAAGATGGCCCAGCGTCCACTCCAGTGCTTTCCCCGTGGCAGCTGTGGTTGGGTAGAGCTGGAGGGACAGATCCTCCTCCTCGCCAGTCCGGGATGGTGGGTCTGGCCCTGAGTGTGCGGTGGGTGCCCCAAGCCAGGGCCCGCTATCTTGACTCCAGCCCCTCCAGGTACTCCAGGGCCACATCGTAGCAAAAGTGGTACTGATCCTGCAGAGAGGGAGAGAGGAACCATGAGCCTGAGCCGGCCTTTGTGCTGGGGGGCTGGAAAGGGGAGGGGTAGGCATGAGTCCTAGCCCACCCTTGTGAGGAAAGGGTGAATGGGGGCAACGTTGTGACACCACAAGACTGGAACCAAGGCGCAACGGTGGAGACCAGACATGGGAGAGTGGCTTCTGAGGAATCTGGCCAGGCAAGGGTAGGGAGGTGGAAGTGGCTGGGCACAGGGACACAGCCCCTCACCATGGTCTCCACCATATTGGGCTTGTAGTTCCGAAGCGTTTTGGCAGCAAAGAAAACGTCCACCAGGTTGTGGCAGCGGATCATCTCAAGAACCGTGGCGCAGGCGCAGAAGGTACCGCTGCGACCGCCCCCATTTCTAAATGAGACACACAAAAGGTTTGGGGGGAGGTGGTGACTAGAGCCAAAGGTAGGGAGCAGCGCCTGGGAACCCAAAGGTGAAGGGAGGAGGGGCCAGGGAACCAAAAAGGGTAGGGTGCAATCAGAGCCCAAAGGCAAGGGCATGGCTAGGGAACCCAGAAGAGGGGGCGCAAAGGGCCCGAGGGTGAGGGGCGGGGCCAGGGAATCCAGAAAGGAGGGGCAGGAGGCCTAGTGGTGGGGGGTAGAGCTAGGGAACGCAGGAGGGAGGGGCAGAGGACCCAGAGGAGAGGGGTGGAACTGGGGAGCCCAGAAAGGAGGGACAGAATGCCTAGAGGAGAGCAGCAAGAGCAAAAGTTTGAGGACCCCAGGCTAAGGCCCACATCCAAAGGCCTATGGCACCTCAGAAGACATAGCCCCAAGGAGAAACAGACTGCAGATTCTGAAAGAAGGACACCGAGGCATTGAGAAACAAAGACAGTGACAGAGAAGGGCAGTCAAGCAGCAAGTAAATACCCAGAGAGCAAGACAGAAAATAAGTACTGAAGACCAGTCACCACCCGGCAGCGCAGCAGACACACAGGCTCAAACACACCTGCCAAGTGGTCCTGCAGCCACCCACAGAGAGCCTCCCACCGCCTCCCTGCCTCTCCCTCTGCTCCCTGTGACTCCCACGTGTGGGGTGCTGCCTGAAGGATGGGAGACTGACTAGACCCTCAGCCCCCTTCTCAAGGGGTCTCTCTCACCAGAACCAAAGCCCTGAGGGCCAGACCCGGACTGACACAGCTTCCCACCCCAGCTTCCAGTGTGCCCAGTCTGGCACTGGGAAGGCGCAGCAAGTGCCAAAAGCATGGAAATGGGGGAGCAAAGGAGTGACTGCACCTGAGTGAAAGCAAGAATTTATGAATAGTGTCATGCATATATGAATTAATGAATTTAAAACGCTGCAGGCCACTCAGTGGCTCAAGCCTGTAATCCCAGCACTTTGGGAGGCCCAGGTGAGTAGATTGCCTGAACCCACAGGTTCAAGACCAGCCCGGGCAACTTGGTGAGGCCTCGTCTCTACAATAAATCAAAAGTTAGCCGGGTGTAGTAGCGCACGCCTGTAGTTCCAGCTACTTGGAAGGCTGAGGCGGAAGGATTGCCAGAGCCCAGCAGGTCAATGCCGGGATGGCCGTGATAATGCCACTGCACACGAGCATGGGCGATGGAGTGAGATTCCAACTCAAAAAAAATAAAATAAAATAAAATAAAACATTGTGTATATTCATGCATGTGCATGCATGAACAAAGACTGAAATTCCATAGGTATTAAAAGTGTACTACAATCGCATGGAGTAAAAAAATCTGACAAAGGATTCTCTTGAATTAAATCGGCAAAGTCAAACATAACACAGAACAACTGGGCAGTTGGTCAGAGCTGAATCTATACCCTGGAAACTAGGCTCCTCCAGGGGAGACTCCAGAGTCCAGGCCACAGTTATCTGGGAGCCCAGAGGATTTGGTGCCAGCCTTGCTGCCTGCTCTCACACTGGACCCAGCCCCTCGCCCCTTCACCCACCCTCCCACAAGGCAGGCACTCACAGGCAGTGCACAATGGTGCGCCCATCCCCGCTTTCCGCCTGCCACTTGTCCACTTCGGCCAGCAGGTGCAGGAAGGCCTTCCTGGAGTCAGGTGTATCCCGGTATGCGGACCAGCGCAGGAACTGGAAGTGCCGTACCAGCAGATGCCCCTCCTGCAGCTGGAGGCACCGGCAGCCAGCCGAGGGACATGAGCACTGGAGTCACTGGGCTGGATGACCTCAAGGGGGCCATTAAAGGCTGCCCCGGCCATCACCCAGGTTCTCACCCTGGGGCTCCCCAGACCACTCACCCGAGAGATGTTCTGTACTCTGAAGACCCGTGCCACCAAGTCTTCATCCACAGTGCCTGACACAAACTCCACCTCCATGAGGCCATACTGCTGCCGACCTGGCTCTGGCCAGTACTGCAGGCAGGGCTGGGGCATGGGCATGGAGAAAGGAGAGCTGAGCAGAGCCCAGCTGGGGCTTACCCACAGCCACACCCACTGCCAGGGGTCCACACATGTCTTGTGCCTCCCACACGCCTGGCCCATCCAATCACTCCAGACTCGCCTCTAGCATGCCCCACTCACCACCACTCACCTAATCAGGCTGCAGCGCCCACCTGACACAACACATTCTGCACTGACACGTTCAGACCCACCGAGACAAATCCTTTACAGACAGCGCACTGACGCCCACTGCTAGCGGCTACAAATCTACACCTTAACACGCTCACACACACCTGCAGAAGACTGCTTCCAGAAATAGGCCTGCATCACCCCCATCCACCCCAGAACACCCCCCACCTTCTTTCTCACTGCCTCTGCCCCTCAGAACCAGCTCACAGAGGTGGGGTGTCCCTGATGTGGCAACATAGCTCAGTATCCCCACTCCTGCTCCAGGACCCCTCCAGGGAGTCAGGGTCCTAAATACAAACCCCTCCCAGACTCCAGACAGTGGAGGGAACAGAGGCAGCACAACCCCCACACCCCGCACACACGCACACCCCACACACGCACATGTACACGAGACCTCCAGGCTGCTTAGCCCAGAGCCTCAGCTTCTAGTCTCAGCTCTGCCGGGAGCCCAGAAAATACTCCTTTCTCTGGGCCGTAGTTTCTTCATCTGCAAAATGGCCTCCAAGCACCACCCAAAAGATATTATGCTTCATCTGCTTCCCCCTCTGACCACAGCCCCACAAGGAAAGGATGCTACTACCTTCCTCTTTTTGCCTGGGGTCCTGGCAACCTCTTACATTCAGAACTTTGCACATGCTGTTCCCTCTCCATGGATCAATCTTCCTCCCAGTTAATTCTACCCTTCCCACACATCTCAGCTCAGATACCACCTCCTCCAGGAAGCCCTCTCTGACACATTATCCCTCATGCTTCTCTGTGTCCCTGTGTCAGGTCTGTGATAGCCCTCTTCCCTCTGTGCTGTCCCCGTCCAGTTTTGTATCCGCTTCCTCCTGGACCATGGGATCTGAAATGAGCTGAGCTGTGTCTTCTCTTTCTGTCTCCTCACTGCCCACTGCAGGGCCTGGCAGGGAGCAGTCCATGGGAAGAGCTGGTTGAATGGATGAGCACATCAGTGACCAGTGAATGCCATGTGGGAGCCTCCCTCTGAGGTCTTCCATCTACCTTGGCGAGGGCAGTTCCTGCTATAACCAAGATTTGCTCTAGGGCCCACGTAGGAGCTAGGGCCTGGTACCCTGGTCTTGGGTCACTTACATCAAGGGCCTGACTCATAAAGAGCACATTTAACCAAGTCTTCTCCAGGCAGCCGTTAGGAGGCTGTTGTGCTCATTTTACAGCAGACCTTCCTAGGCCCCAGGCCCAGCAGAGACCTAGGGCCCAGCTCAGGCATGGCTAGAGGCTGGGCATCTGTACTTCTTGGGAGCTCCAAAAGAAATGCGGGAGACAGAGGGGCTGCCCCCAGCTGAGAACTGAGCCAGCATCTGGCCCAATCTCAGAAGCAACTGTCACCCTCATCTTGGTCTCTGCTGTATACTGAGCGCCCACTGCGTGCCAGGCTCGGCATGGTGCTAAGCAGCCTATGCACACCTCACGTGATCCTCACAATAACTCCATGGGAACAGGTCCTGTTGTGGTGTCCATCTTACAGAGAAGGAAACTGAGGCTCCAAGAGATAAATGAACTTGCCCCAGGTCAAATAGTCAGAAAGTAAGAGGCTTGAACTTTACTCTACCTCGAAGGCCCCCAGATAGGCAATTAGTCAAATGACTGAAAAGGCAGCAGCTTTGGAATGAGGCAAGCCAGGATGGGAGTGTGGCTCTGCCGCTTCCCAGCCATGTGACCCTGGAGAAGGCATGACATCTTGGGTCTTAATTTTCTCAACTTTCTTACCTGAAGCCTTCACCCCAAGGTCCCTATAGATCATAGATAAGATCATAAGTGCAAAGCTGAGTCCCTGGCTCAGATCAGGAGCTCAGTAAAGAGCAGTTTTTAGTTTTTTCCGGTCTGACACCCTCGTTTTACAGATGAGGAACCAAGGTTCTGGAAGGGAGTGTGACTTGTCTAAGGTCACACAATAAATAGGGGGCAGAGCTGGGACCCAACCCTTGGCACTGGAGACTGTGCCGTGGAACACACTGAGGCCCTAGGCAGCAGGCGGCCAGCGGCCTGGCCCACGGGGCCTCACCCAGGCAGAGTTGGACTGGTTCAGCTGGTTGAGCATGACGATGGAGGTGCACCCATAGTCGTAGACCAGCCGCCAGAAGTCGGGCGTGGTGCTCTGCAGCGGGTGCAGGGTCACGATGAAGGCCGCGCTCCGCGTGTAGCTCTGCAGGGAAACCAAGACTCAGCAGGGCCCTGTGCACAGCCTCTGACATGGCCAAGCCTCTGCCAACCTCTGCCCGCCCCAAGCCAGACACTCATGCCCCACAGGACAAGGCTGTCTCCAGTGGCCCATTTCAGAGGCTGGCCAGCACACGGAGGCCTCAGCTGACAGGCTAGGGCTCAGACCTCTAGTATTCAAGTCCATGACCCTCAGAAACTAAACAGCAAAAGATTTCCAAAGGTACAGCATGGGGAGCCTGGGCGTGGCACATACAGGCTGATCAAGCTGGCTCCCTGCCTCAGAGCTTTTGCATCTGTTATTTCTGCTGCCGAAACCAAATTTCCCAAGCGTTTGCATGGCTCTCTCCCTCACTTCTTTCTGGTCTTGGCTTCACCATCACCCCCTCAAAGAAGCCTTCCCGTGCCACCTCATCAAAACTATCTACACACACACACACAATTCACATTCAACACTTCAGCCTGGTTGGGTTTTGTTGCTGTTGTTATTGTTGTTATTATAGAAATTTGAGCATGACATTTCATTGTGTATTTATTTACTGACTATCCCACCCCACTCCCTAAATGCAAGGGTCAGGAGGGTCGAAATGTCAGGGTATGGCCCGTGCCCAGCACATTGTAGGGGCCCAATAAATATTTCAAATAAATAAATCTCTAGGTCCCTTCCAGCTCCATAGACCAAGGGTCTAGGGCCCCAGGCAGCCCAGGCAGTAACAGGCTCTGACTCTGCTCCCTACTCTCACCCTCATCCTGCAGGGTGAGCTGGTACCAACTTTCTCCCATCAGAGCTCCAGCTCCAGGTCTCCCTGGTGACCTTCCCCAGCACCTGTGCCATGTCCCCTCCCTCTCCTGAGTTCTCCTACAACCCCAGGACCCTGACCCCTGTCTGTCTTCTGGCCTTGACCCTGACTCAGGCCCTGACCAAATCCCTACCTGCCCTTTGTAATCCTGCAGGGGGCAATGCAGAAAAGCGAGGGGCCCTCTCCAGCCTGGGCTCCCCTCCCCAGGACTCTCTGCAGGCTCACTGAGCACCTGTTCTTCGAGGCCAGGCCCAGTCAGATGCCAAAACTCAGTTTGGGTGTCTAATGGGGCTCCCTGCAGACCTGACCGCCCAAATGACCCTGCAGGCCCCTTACCATGAGTTCAAGGCCATCTGAGAATCAGGGTCTCCCAGTTCCTGAGCCCACAGGACCCTCGAGGCTGTGGTTAGGCGTCAGAGGCATATAGGACCCCAGCAAGCGGCAGGGCTGTCTTCACCTGACAGGCCCACTCCCACAAGGACCAGGGGGCCCCAGCCCAGAGACTCAGTGCCCTTGGAGAGGCTCCTTTTCAGGCCTCCATGTGCAGATGGGAACTCTGGAGACCAAGGAAGGGGCTGGGAGGAAGGTCACTATGTTTAGTTCAACAGCCTTCCCAGCACCACATGTCACTTCTCCAGAACCCCCAACCCCTCAGCAGGCCAGATGTCCCCAGGCCAACATGTGGGCACACACGCATACGCATTCCTCCACCAGACTGAGTGATGGTAGTTGATGGGCCCCTTCATGCCTCTCCCTTCAGTGACTAGGGCTGCCCCTCCCCTCTTGTCTTCTGCTCACATACCAGAAAGCCCATGGCAGCTCATCCTTTGTAGAGGAACCCATTCCCTGCACTGTCCTGCCAAGGGGCTCTCGACCAGGAACTTGGCTACAAAAGGCCCAACTCCCTCTTGCCTGCAGTGGAAGAAGCTCCCTTCTCTCATTTCCACATGGAAGGACAACCAGCAGTGACACACCTTCCTCAACCGTCCTTCACTCACTGCCCCCATGGGCGAGGTTGCTCAGCTCAGCTCCTTTCTCTCTTTTTCCGGGCCAGGATACCCTCAGAATGCATGCATTCTAACTGCTCCTACTCCCCACCACATTCAAAGTTTTGTCCCTGATGGGGAGGGGTGTCCGATGGCTGTACCACTGTATCCACGAGGGCTAGTTAGCCTAACAGGGCGAAGAGGTTGCCTGCCCACTCGGCCACATATCCAAAGCACTACCTCCAGCTCCATCTGTGACATTTTGATCTCACCTGTCTGTCTCCTGCCTCTGTATCTCAGCTGTTTCCAGAGTGGGAGAGGAACAGGGGTAATACAAACCCTTCCCACCTCAGATGGTGGCATCTTCACCAGGCCCCTAAAACCCCAGCACCCACCTCCTGCTCTGCTTGCAACACCCAGTAAAGGAGGCAGAGGTCCCTGAGCCAGGAGCAGGGCAGGAGACTTCTAAATGGCTCCTGAGCCCTGAGACCACAGCCAGGATGGGCCGAAGGAGGAAGTCACCATTCCAGGCACCAGCTCCATCTCCCAGGACAAGCTCCTCTGACTCTAGACATCAGGTCTCAAGGCCCAACCCCAAACTCTTGAGGCCTCCCCTGCCAAAGCCCCCAGAATCATTCATCCTACCCCAGATTCTACTGGGTCCGATCCTGGAGACAGCCCTGCCTGAACTCCACAATCTAGACCCTTCCCCCACTCAAGTAGAGAATAATACTTGAAAGGGGCACTGGTTTGAATACGCTGAGTGGAAGATCACTGAGGGTAGGAGGGTCACTTCACAGGCCTGTTCCCCAAAATGGGCAGAGGGTCCCCCCACCAGAGCCCTTAGCTGGGATCCTGACCCTTCCCCGATGCTGTTGGGAGGGGAAGTCCGAGAGCCCACCCCACACTCTCACATCAGTCAGAGCAGCATTGATGTAGTTGTTGGGGTCCCCATCAGTGGAGATGAGGAAGGGCAGGCAGCGGTCAGGTGGCAGGACATCCATGCTGCGGTTCTTGTCGCGGTTCCGGGGCAGAAGGGCGATACTGCACTCCTCCACGTCCAGCGGTGGGGTGACCGAGTTCAGCGTCTATAAGGAGAGGGGTACGGGGATGGAGAATCATATGCAGGGCTTGCTGGGCCACCTCACACCCCTATGAAAGAGGTTGCGCTGGACTACCAACCTCATTTTAGGGATGAAGAAACTGAGGCCCAGAGAGAAGCGAGAGAGGGCAGGGACCAAGCTCCCCCTCTCCAGGCCATGCAGGGCCCGGGCAGAGCTCTGGAGACTAGTTTCTGCCTCCTCACTACCCACATAACCTCAGACAAGCTACTATATCTCTCGGCCTCAGTTTCCTCACCTGTAATATGGGAAAGTAATATGCCTACATCATGGGGCTGTGGGGGAGACAAAGTAAGAGTCTTCTAACAATGGAGATGATGTGGCACTGCTGGGGTGCGGGTCTGAGAATGATGCACCAAACAGGAGAGTGGTCCTTGGAGTGCACAGAGACCAGACTCCAGCATCATCATTTGGGACCCCAGATGCGGCCACAACTGCAGCTGCCCCATCCACAGGCTTTTCAGTTACAAGAGCTGGACTTTTCGCACTTTCAAAAAAAAGAATCCCAAAGAGCACAAACACAGCAAGGAAAACGTTGACTGTCTTCTTTCTTATCTGAGTAACAAAACTGAGGCCCAGAGAGATAAAGTGACTTGTTCAAGGACACTCATAACTCTTTTTTTTTTTTAAGTTGGAATCTCACTCTGTCACACAGACTGGAGTGCAGTGGCACACTCACAGCCACTGCAGCCTTGACCTGCTGGGCTCTGGTGATCCTTCCACCTTGGCCTTCCAAGTAGCTGGAACAACAGGCATGTGTCGCCATGTCTGGCTAATTTTTTGATTTATTGTAGAGACGAGGTCTTACCATGTTGCTCAGGCTGGTCTCAAACCCTGAGCTCAGGTAATCCTCTTGCCTCTGCTCCCAAAGTGCTGGGATTACAGACGTGAGCCACCGCATCCAGCTAACATAACTCTTTAATAAGAAACCCAGGACTTGAACCCAGATTTATCTGACTTCAAAGCCTGAGTGCTTTTTTTAATTTTTTATTTTTTTGAGACAAGATCTCACTATGTTGCCCAGGCTGGCCTCAAACTCCTGGGCTCAAGCAATCCTCCTGCCTCTGCCTCCCAAAGTTCTGGGATTACAGGTGTGAGCCACTGCGCCTGGCCTAAAGCCTGTGCTCTCAATCACTTTGTTACACCACCTCCTCCACTATCTCAAAGTCCTTCCTAGTAGCCCAACTCTATCCCTTGTATTCTCAGTCTGGTCCCTGCCTGGCTCTCAATGGCTCCTGCAGTACTGAGCATCTCCCAAAACACAAACACACACACACACACACACACAAACACCTCTCACCTGAAACTCTTCTCGCAGCTGGGAGGAGTTACTCTGAGGATCAATGCGAATCATCTCCTTGTAGGTGGCCTTGAACTCACTGACAGGGATAGTGGTCTCCCCACATAGGCAGGCCTCCAGGATTGCATCATGGATGAAGATGTACTGCTCCTGGAACAGGAAACAAGCATTTGAGAATGAGGAGGGGCCTAGATGCTGGAGATCTGATGGGGAGGAGGAATAAGCTTGCTCTAGGTTGAGGCAGCTGCTCTAAGGCAGAACCCAACCATGTGGGTTACTACAAGGCAGGACCCAGCCAGCTTGAAACAGCCTTGAAACAGATATGCTCCCTTATCTGATAGTTCATCCCTATATCAACTCTATGAGATGCTCTGAGAGGCAAGGGGACAGCCCGAGGTCACATATCTAGTAAGAATGCAATCCCAGGCGCGCCTTAACTACAAAACTCGTTGTCTGACCTCACCTAACAGAACACGGTGGAGCTGAGACTAGCAAGACCCCACGAGGCTGGCAGCCCACATTCAGGGATGATCCCAGGGAAGGGAAGAGCCACAGGACATCCCGTGGACACGCTCTACCAGCTCTGAGCTCCTTCACGAGAGACCCCGGTTCTAGAGGGAGTGGTGGGGACAGGGCTGGTCCCCACACCTCAGTCTGGATCATGTTGACACGCCGGGAGCAGAGGGTCTTCACGCAGTTGTAAATGTCCACGACGCCCTCACACTCTGCCATGTCCAGCATCACATCCAGGACGATATAGCAGCCTGTGCGGCCAGTGCCCACGCTGGGGAGAGAGAGGCCCCAGGCTACATCAGGACCTTGGAGAGGGAGCCCGGGACTAGGGAGGAGAAGAGAGGAGGAAGACTAGGCGACTAGGCACTGGACATATCTGCCACCACACAGAGGACAGGGACATAGAGACATAATCTTTCTTCCCCCAGCAAGGAGGAGTCAGGCTGCTGGATGGAAGAGACCTGGTGAAATGTGATAGAGGACAGAGTTTGGGTGGGCTCAAGGGAAAGAGAGGAGGGGAAAGGGCTGGGAGACTGGAGAGGTGAGACTGGTCACTCAGTTAACCCAAGAATGTTCTTTAATCCTGGATATCACCAAACCTCCTGCACATCCTTCAAAACCCCACACACTCATACTTATTCACGTACTCACAAGTATCCCTAATCCTTCTAGGCAGATGTCATTCTTTGGAGCTTCCAGAGTAATTTGGGCGAGATTTTCTTAAAACGCTCTTCTGCTATATGACCATAGTATATGTTGCTGCCTCCCTAATCCGACTGGGAGCTGGGCTCATCTCTGTGATCCTCGTGCTCATACTAGGTTGTGCAGAGGGGGAAGGGGAGCAACTAAAGATGACACCAAGATTTCAGTTTGAAAACGATGGCACCCACATGCTGGCGAGGATATACCCAAATGGGTATACCATACGCTGGCGGGACTTAAATTAGCACAACCACCTTGGAAGACTATTTGGCAACATCGCCTGAGGCTGAATATTCACGTAGAAAACAATTCTACTCCTACGTACACACCTCACAGAAAAGAATACGTTTCTTGGCCAGGAGACACACAATCAAATGTCCTTAGCAGCACTATTCATAATAGCCCAGAACTGGAAACCACCCAAATGACAATCAACAGCAGAATCAACAATACATTGTCATTTATTTACCTCATGGAATATGATCCAGCATGGATGAATCTTACAAACATAAGGTCAAGGGAAAGACGTCAGACACCGAAGAGAACATGCTGTGCGGCTCCATGTATACAAAATCCACAAACATGCATAACATCTACAGTTTAGAGGTCACAATAATGGTCACTCTGGGGTGGGGAGCAGGACATAAAGACCAGAATCAGGCTCAAGGAGGCTTCTGGGTACTGTTCAGGTTCTGTTTCTCTTTTTTTAAAAAAAAGAAAGACAAGGTCTCACTCTATTGCCCAGGCTGGAGTGCAGTGGCATGATCATAATTCACTGCAGCCTCAAAACTCCTGGGTTCAAGGAATCCTCCTACCTAAGGCTCCCAAGTAGCTGGGACTACACGCGTGTGCCACCATGTCAGACTAATTTGTATTATTATTATTATTATAGAGATAGAGTTTCACTATGTTGCCCAGGCTAGAGTACAGTGGTAGGATCATAGCTCACTGAAGCCTCGAACTCTTAGGCTCAAGAAATCCTCCTACCTGAGGCTCCCGAGTAGCTGGGACTATAGGCATGTACCACCACATCTGGGTAATTTTTTTTTTTTTTTTTTTTTTTGTGGAGACAGAGTCTATGTTGCCCAGGCAAGTCTCAAACTCCTGGGCTCAAGTAATCCTCCCGCCTTGGCCTCCCAAAATGTTGGGATTACAAGTGTAAGCCACTGTACCCGACTAGATAATGTTTCTTGATCTCGGGAGGGCTGGTTATTTCACAGGTGTGTTCAGTTTGTGAAAATTCATAAAGTGATACATCCAATTATTATTTGTGACTTTGCTTTAAGTGCATCACATATCAAAAAGTTTTATTTTTAAAAGACAGAAAATGTGCCAGCACCTTGATTTCCCAGCCTCCAGAAATGTAAGAACTAAAATTCTGCTATTTATAAGCAAAAAAATAAAATAACATAAAAAGATAGCATAAAGAAATGAAAGAGAAATTGGTTTGGGTGGTAGAGCAGGAAGAACGAGTCTGCCATGTAGCATTTGGGGAGCTGATAAGAATCCAACAGAGAGGCTGGGACAAGACATAGAGGCCATGAACTTGTGGACCCACGGGACATGCCAGAGTCATGAGCGTTGGAGGTTAGGCTCTACAGGAGGAGACAGAGCACAAGGCCAGGCTAGGGTGTTAGGCCTCTACTTGAGAAGCAAGAGGAAGATTTGGAGCCAGGGAGGAAGCAGAGAAAGAGGAAGGGCAGTCAGGGTCACACAAGCCCATCAGGGTCTGCACAGGGTGTGAAGCTAGCGGGTGAACAAGGCCAATGGTGTCTGGTAATGAGAAGTCCTTCCCAGCCCTAAGTCAATCCTAGCATGCATCAGGTGTGCAACAAACGCCTGCTGAGTGCAAGCAAGCTCCGTAGCTCCTGTGCCTTGCCAGCTCCTAGGCTCTGTCCATGTCTCCAGGACCTCCTCAGAACCTAGGTCAAGGGGCTCCACAGGTCCTGAGGGGCACATGAGGATGCCAACACCAGTGCCAAAGCTCAAAGGGCAAAGAGTCCTTTGGGGGTCAACCTGTCCATCTGTCTCTAAGCAAGATAAGCCCAGATCTGTCCATCTTATGGGCCCCGAGCCAACCCTTCTCCAAGCCCAACTCTCCACAGACCCCTCTTCTCCTTGCAACTCCCAGCACTCCTACCTGCAGTGGATGACAATGGGCCCAGCGTCAGGTGGGGTGGAGGCCTTCACACGCCGGATGAAAGCCAGCAGCCCCGTGGCATGGTAGGGGACACCATGCTCTGGCCATGCCGTGAAGTGAAACTGGCGAACCTCGTGCCGGGCAGAGTAGCCTCTCTGGGGAAACAACAGTAGTAGGAGTCAGTGTCACTGGCATCTTAATTAGACACTTGCTGTATGCAGGCACTGTGGTGAGCACCTCATTGCAGGATCTCAATGAATCCCAATGGTAAATGTGTTGGTAAGGTCGGTACTAATGTCCCACTGCACAAGTGAGAAAACTAAAGCTCAAAGAGGAGAAACCACTTTCCCAAGGTCAGACAGATAACATGTAGGACTTGGACAGGGGTATGCCTCACACCTAAACCTATGCCACTAAACACCCACCTCTGCCACCAGGTTGTTGTATAAACATAGATCATTTTGATTCCCTGGGTCTTAGTTTAAAGGGTGAATACTGTCTTTCCTCTGAGGACTGCACAGGGAAGATCAACAGCACTGTGGACAGGATGTGCTGGCCAGTCCCTATGTGGCCTCTTATGTGCGATATAACCAGTCTGAGCCTCACTTTCCTTATTTGTAAAATGGGCTAACAGTAAACACCTAACTGCGCATAGCTTTCCAGGACTAAAACATTATGTGTAACAGGCTCGGCACAGAGCAGGAGCCAATACCTTCATTGTCTCAACTTCCTCCTGGAGTCACCAGCAAAGACAGTTACCTTCCTATCCTTCCAGCAAACAGTGACCAAGTAGTTTCCTTGCTGGGAACAGCAGTGGTGCCCTCCTCACCCTCCTGCTCCCTGGGCTGGGGCAAACGGGGATTAACTCTGTCTCACCCCTTAGGCACCCTCTGCGGGGAACAGGTAAAAGGCAGACTCACCCGCTCCAGGGCAAAGGTGCGCACCACATACTCAGCTAGCGTCTCCGTCTTCACCAGCGTAATCTTGATGTCCCCGTACATGTCTGAGTCTTCCGGCCAGTACCGTGAGCATTTCACCTGCAGGCCCCACAGGACGGGACTCAGTGGGCTCTCCTCTGCCCCCGGCCCGCCAGGCCTCCAGCTCACCCTACAGCCCCGCTTACCCTGCCCACCTCGACCAGCTTGGTGATCATGACGATGCTGGAACAGTGCTCCTGCCACACCATGCGCCAGAAGTCATAGACCATCTCGGGCTTTGGCCCTGAAGGTGCAGAGGGCGCCTATCCCTAAGGCAAGGTCTCCACCCAGGGCCAGCATACCCTGCCATCCAGCACCACCATACAGGCCAGAAGGTTCCCTGAGCCCTGGAGGAGGCTTTGTGCTCACCCCCCACACACCCCACCAATAGCCAACTCATGCCTGCAGGGCCCTGGGGTGGGTCGGATCAGGAGAGGACCTGGCTGAAGAGCCTAGTCATCCTGAGTGGGCCCCAGGAGGAGGGCCAGAGCCTCAGGCAATGGCACGAGCCTCCAGGAGGGATGGACAGATGGACAGCTGGGGCAAAAGGCACAGCCAGATGAATGCAGGCAGTCCCCAGACCCACCCCAATGGGACTGAGCCTGGCAGCCCTTTCCATGCACCACCCTGGAGACAGACATGTGGACCAGGGAGCTGTGGATGAACCGATCGCATTGGGGAGACACAAATACAAAGGGGACAAAGGCGGATGGCCAGATTCCAAGAGACTCAGCTAGAACGGGGAGCAGACAAACAAACAGACAGAGAGACAGAAGGGGAGGCTGACAGGGAGCCAAGCATCTGCAGGGGAGGCAGGAAGGCAGGCAGGGGCATTCCAGCACACCGGCAGGCACACAGGAAGTGCACATGAGCAGGGGGCCCAGATACCTTGAGTGGCTATGAAGTGGTTTGACCTATGATAACCCTGGAACAGAAGAAGAGGGCGTGGTTAGACAGCCCCCCACTTCCTCAGACCACTTTTCCCTTGTCCCCCCAGAAGCAGCATACCCCATCCCACCACAGAAATGGCCCACCCTCATCCCCAGGACCTCCTGAGCAGGGTAACGTTGTCCTCCCAGACCCCACTGGAAGGGAAGGAAGTACAGTTCCAAGTGAAGGGTCTTGGGTTGAATCCTACCTTTGCTGTATGACCCTAAGGAGGACATGACTCCAATATGGGCCTATAGGGCTCCCCATCCATAACGTGGGGATGGTTATCTGCTCGCAGCCACACTGTTGCTTGGAGACAAAGTCCAGGATAACTCTGTCCTGTTCCCAGAGTCCCAGAAACTCTAATCAACCCAGACCCCAAAGGTGCGGTAACCAGAACTTGTCAGCTATCCTAGCCCCGTTCTGAGCAACCAGCATGGAGAGTACCCCCTCCCCTTCCCTCAGTCACTCAGAGCTTGGGAGGCCTAGATGAAGACTTCAGGTTGGGAGCATATGAGCACAGGGGTCACTCATGGCCCCAAGATAAAATTTTAAAATCTTTAATATCAATAATAATAATGAGAAGGAAGTGCTTTTTGGAGACCCTGCTGTGGTCAAATACTGTGCTAAGCACTTAAACTGTACTACTTCCCACAAGAAAGACCAAGAGCTACTTTAACCTCCATCCCCTCCCTGGAGCCCTCAGGCCAGGGAGAGGAATCAGCAACTCTACATGCCACCCCAGGGCTATGGGCACCCACAAGGTCCCACCACAAAGGGGGCGTATCTATGCGGGCTAGGAGAAAAGGGGAAGAAGCACTGCAGGGCTGGGGCAGAGAAAATCATCAAGCTTGGGCCCTGCCACAAGTTCATACCCTTGCCATAGTTCCCAGCAATCCTCTGGGCCCGTGGGCTTTCCAGGCCCAAAGAGCCAGGGGCCAGACTGTAGGGTTCAAATCCCAACTCAACCTCTTGCTAGCTTGTGCGCCCTTAGGCAAAAACCCTTCACTTATCTCGGGCCTTCATTTTCACCTCTATAGAATGGGATAATTATAGTGTCTATCTCCTAGAGTTGTTGTGAGGAGTAAATAAAGTAACATATGTTAAATGCCTGGCACCGTGTCAAGCCAAAGTCAGGGCTTCAGCAATAGCAGCTATTATTACTACTACTACTATTTTAAAGCTTAAACGGTATCCCTAAAGATGTCTGAAGGTGATTTACTCTAGGGGTGAAGACTCTGAGTCCTGGAGCTCTGCCAAGGAGTAGCTGTGTGCTAAAAGGTGCTTCTCAGCCTTTCATGTGCACATAAATCTCCCGGGATCTTGTTAAAAGGCAGATTCAGATTTAGAAGGTCTGGGGTGGGGTCTGGGATTGGGCATCTCCATCCAGTTCCTAGGTAGGCCTCAAAACATATGCTGAGGAGCCAGGCTCTCCACCCCCTAAGCCTCTGCCCTCCTCTATAATAGGAGGATAAACAGCAAGACATTCAGAGATTCTGGCGTATGCCACTTATTGTTCCCATGAAAAAGACCGAAACACAGTCAAAGTTACTAATAACAAAAAGCCTCCCGGAGACTCTCAGACCTCTCCACTGGGAACCTTTCCAGGTCTAGCCTAATTCCCTCCTGCTGTGGCTCCAAGCCACTGGGTAATGGGGATTCAGAGAGAAAGGCAGAGGTGAAGGAAGGGGAGGCCATTAAAGATACTGCCAGTGGGTTCCTCCTACCCCAGCGTCAGTAAAGCTAGGAACTGGCTCTCCCTCCAAAAACCAGTTTGCCTTACAGCCCACATGGGAGCAGGGGCCTGGTCTGACCCACCCCAGGACCCAGCACAGTGCCAGCACTCAAAAGCTAGTCTGTAAGTAACAAGGAATGAAACTCAGTTAAAAATGATCAGTTTGCCCAAGGACCAGGTGGCCTAAAATCCAACTCTATTATAAACGCTTCTGGTTCACTCTGATGTCCTATTCTTTTTGGAGAAAGTATGACACAACGGTCACACAATTGTTATACAACCCTATTTGAAACAAGTTTTTCAGCAGATAATCCTCAACATCTGTATATTAACTTGTAAAATATGTGTTACTGCACAATTATACTACAAAGAGAATACAAACAGACATTTAAAATAGTCAGATTTTAAAGGAAAATAAGTACATCATCTTTCACACACCCACTTTAGAGACCAGTATCAGAGAGCACTGGTCCTCACACTCCAGGAAGCATCAGCCAGTTTTGGAGCTTGTTGAGTCCTTGCTGGACTTTTTTTTTTTTTAAAAGAAACAGGGTCTTATTCTGTCACCCAGGAGTACTGTGATCCTAGCTCACTGCAGCCTCAAACTCCTAGGCTCAAGCAATTCTCCCACCTCAGCCTCCCAAGTAGCCAGGACTACAGGCATGAGCCACCACACCAGCTAATTTTTTTTATTTCAGAGACAGGGTCTCGTTATGTTCCCCCAGGCTGGTCTCGAACTCCTGACCTTAAGCGTTGCTCCCACCTTGGCTTCCTAAAGTGTTGGATACAGGTGTAAGCCACTGGGCATGGCCTTCACTGGGTTGATTAGGTGGAGCTAGGAGACTGAGCACCTGCACTATAGGCAGACGCCCAGAGCTCCCCAAAGGGTGAGAAACACAGTTCAGTATAAAGGCTGAGGGATAAAGCTGGATTTGTCACCCAGTTCTGCTCTTTAAAGAATGTGTGGCCCTGAGCGTGTCACTTAACTTTTCTAAGCCCCAATTTTCTCAACCTGTCAAATGCAGGTCAGTAGGATCCCTAACACACAGAGCATGGGAAAGATGAAATGAGGTGTCCAAGGTGCCTGGCACATAGCAGGTGCTCCTTTAATGACACTGCTGTTAATTGGCATTTGAAGACGCATTAGGTCAGCCCTCTAAGGATATTTCTTAAACATCTGACAACAATGTACCAAGTGGGTTGGATTGAAGAGTGAGTGGGTTATAGTGTGCAAACTGAGATGTAAGAAGTATAATGACCTGTATTTAGCATCTTCTAGGGGGTGCTAGGACTGAGCAGACCCTCTACATTTGGTGGTCTAATATGCCCTTTATATGTGAGAACTTGGCAAATCAACTGTTCACTGTACTCCAGATAAGGGGCACATCTGGGATAACCCGTCATCTGTGGCAGATGCAACTGCAAGGGCCTTTCACTTTATATATGAGCCGTCATCGCTGTGTTGTCTGGAAGTCTGATAATGAACAATGTTTGAGCATCTCAAAAGGCAAGAAATATATTTTTAAGAGAAAAGGGAGATAAAATGGAAATGACACCCCCAAAATAGCAAATAATTTCATCAGTCATCAAGTACTATGAAAATAATGTATATGTATTAAAAATCCAATCAGAGGATCACTAGATAAATGAGGGTGCTTTTTTAATTCTTAAAAGGTCAAAAAGTGACGCAGGTTTTAAAAACAGAATTCCCAAACTACCCCCCCAAATTCAAATTAGGACTGAAGTGAGGGCAAAGTTGTTGGGGTTGAGTTTCAAGCAAATTGATCACGAAGGAATTTAAACCCTAGGAAAAATAGTTTTAGGGGGACTGACCTGGTACTGTCCAAAGACCTTGACCCCTAGGCAGCAGTCAGGGCCCTCAGGGCAGCTTCTCCACTCCATCCCCCCAAGGGTCCGGCAGAAGGTGCAACTAGGGAGGACTCACTAGGTGAAGCTGGGGCACCAAGGTGACAGACAGCGGTGACCAGTGCAGAACAGGCTGGCACCGGCAATGCTGCTGCCCCTCTCAAGGCAGCGAAGGATGGGAGGAAGCTGCTTACAATAGAAACACTGTCGAGTCTTCAGCCCGGGTGGCCCCTGGCCAGGCTGCTGAAATGTGCTGGGCACACAAGTAGAGGGGAAGGAGGACAGAGACTGAGAGAGACAGCCAGAGACTATGAGAGAGTCTGAGATACAGCTAGTCAGACAGACAGGAGGAGGAAGAGGAGGAAGAGGAGGAGGAGGAGGAGGAGGAGGAGAAGGGGAGAGAGATACTTACTTCACGGTTTATCCGAATCTTAATGATTCCAGTGAGGGAACAGTACAAAGCAAAAGAGACAGATATTAGGCCAGATGCAGATGGAGGTGGAAGGAGTACAGGAGGGGCCAGATGGGCGATGCGAGCAGGGCAGGCAGAGCAGAGACGGGCGGGCCGGGCTGGGTGGGGCTGGATCAGAGTGTGCGGGGGTGGCATGTCCCTGCCAGGGACCCAAGAGAAGCCAACCGGGACCTTGACAAGACCAAGGAGAGGCCCACTGTCACCAAAACTGCCCAAGTCTGCGAGGCCAGGCCAACACAGGCCCAGTCCTGACCCCAGCCAAGGGACAGTATAGGTAGGGGAGAAGGCAAGGGATTCTGGGAAACAGAGTGGCACATCTGGCCCCAGGAGGGGGACAAGAAGAGGTAGAGACCGTCTCCAGAGTCCCTGACTGCCTCCACTCCCAGACCCACGCCTTGCTCCTCTCGGTACCTCAGGACTCTGCTTTTGCTGCTCTCCACCTGGGACGACCTTCCCTCTCCTCTCCAGCCTCCAGAGCCAGCTCATACCCTGCTTCCTCCATGCAGCCTGCCATGCCAGCCCTGGCTCTGCTACTAACTGCTGTGGGACACTGGGAAAGTCATTCCTCTCTTCTGGCCTGTGCTTCCTCATCTAATCTGAAATTGTCTTATTTGTATTCATGTTTATCTGTCTTGCCCACTAGAATATATATGTCCAAGGAAAGCAGGGGCTGTATCTGTCTTGTTCACATCTGTATCCCTGGCACCCAACACAATGTCTGGCACATAGGAAGTGCTCAAAATATATTTTATAAATGGTTAAATGATGCTTTACCACCCTTGGTGTGCTGCAGGGATTGAGGGAGTCTGACCAGGGTCCCTGGGCCCTATCCTGTCTCACCCACACCTAGGGAGCAGACTCATCACCTCTTTGACATTCAAGCCTAGGCCTCCTGGCTGCCTGCCCTGTCTCTGGCCCCTCCTTCCAATCCAGCCAGGTCTAGCTGCTGTGGTGGGTGGCAGAATAGCCTAGTGGTTGGCAGCAAAGGCTTTGGCGACAGATAGGCTGAGGTTAGAGTCCTTTCTTTACCACTCACTATCTGAGTGACTGGGACAAGAAGCTTCACCTCCCTGATCCCCAGTTTCCTCACCTGTAAAGTGAGGTCACAGTGCTGACTACCTTGTTAGGGTGGTTGTGGGGATTATATAAATGAGATATTGGGTATAAAGTGCTTAGACAGTGCTTGGCACACGGTACATGCTCAATAAATGTACGTTATTATTCTCAAAGTACCACTCTGATCACAGTCAAAACATTTTAACAATCCCTGGTGCTCCTAGGAAAAAGCCCCAACTTCTGAGCCTGCCATTCGAGGCCTTCACAATCCAGCCCTGCCTACCTCTTCAGGTGCACATGCATCATGAGAATCCCCCCTTCCTCATCTCTAGGCCTCTGACTGAGAGGGGACCTTCCTCACCTCTAGGCCTAGCTGTCTGCCTCTTTCCTCGACCCCCCACCTCTCAGGCCAACTCCAGCCTGCAGTAAACCTTTCTGAAGGAGCCACCTGCCCTGTCCTCCCCTTCCTCTGAGTTCGCTGGCACTGAATGCAGGAGGTAGGGGCACTCAGAAGTCAGTCATTTGAATTCCCATTTATTCCCTGCCGGATTTCTGTCCGGCCTGGACAGTGAGCCTGGAATGGGCAGGGCCAGGTCTGCAGAAATGACAGGGCAAGGCACTCACGTCTATATAGTTGGCATTAATGTAGTCGGCATTGGGATCTCCCAGCATCGGGTGGAGTTTCACTCGGTGCCGATCATCTGTAAACACAGAGCAGGTGGACAGGGACTGAACTGGGGAGCCCAGAGCTGGGGCAGTCAGGGAAGGCTTCCTGGATGCCAAAGTGAGGTATAAGCAGGGAAGCCAGGAAGCAGGACAGGTTGAGGGTTAGTGTCTGGGCTGTGAAGTCCAGGAGGCCCAGGGGTGTATGCTGTTCAGGCAATTATTAGCTCTGTGACCTTGACCAAGGGTCTTAACTCTCCAAACCTCAGGTCCCTTTTCTGTAAAATAGGAATTATACTTCCCACTTCTCAGAATAGTGGAAAGCAATGTGTGAGATAAGCACAGGGCCTGACATGAGGTAGGCCCTCAATAAATGACAGCCCATACTACCAAAATCTCTGGGGCTCCCTCAAAGCATGCTGTGGCTGTGTTCCCCCTTCCTGATTCCCTCCCACCCGCTACCCTGGACCCCAGACCCTTCCCCAGGACTCACAGGCAGGCATCGGCTCCTGCCGGCCCCCCGTGAGCTTGTCTTTCTTCTTTGTGGCATCCCAGCCTTCAAAGAAGCTCTGCCAGAAGGGAAAGTGATGGTCAGCGGGTGAGGGGAACCCGACTCATAGGAGATCCCCCTCAACAAGGATGATGCATGCAGGATGGAGGTGGGGCAATGATATGGGCCAGGCACAGGGTCACTGTGTGTCCCTTTATCAGTGAGGGATCAAGTTCAAAACCAAGGAGTGTAAGGGATAGGAGGGGGAGGAAAATGAGAAAAGAGGGAGAAAAAGGGTCAGAGTTCAGAGACATTTTGGAATAGGGGCCAGGTTTAGAATAAGAGTCAAATCCAGATTTCAGTTGGAAAGAAAGTAAAGGTGGGATCAGATTCAGATTAGGATAAGGTGGTGTCAGAGTCTAGATGAAGGAGTAATGGGATTCAAGTCAGAGTTCAAATGGAACTCAGGATGAGAGTCAGGGTCAATATCAGAGTCGGGTTAGGTTGAGGTCATTGGTGATGGTCATGATCAGGTTAGAGACAGAATAAGGATCATGATCAGGCTCCAGATGAAGACTGAGACAGATTCAAGGTCAGATTTTAAATCAGGGTTAGTACAAAGTTGAAAAATCAGGTCACTGTGAAATTAGGATGATGGTCAGGGTCAAGGCCAAAACGGGTTAGGTTGAGTTGGGGACTGTCAGAGTAGGGTTCCAACCAGGCTGAGCTGAGGGTTGCCAGGGTCAGGGTCCACAGTGAGGAGGAGCTAGGCGAGGGCTGCACTGGGATCCTGCTGACTGGGGCCAGGGTGCACCTCGTACTCCTGCTTGAAGCCGTAGCCCTCAGCCGTCTTCATCTGGTTGATGTGCTGCAGAAGGTCAGCCACACGCACCGCAGGGTGCAGCTGCCCCGTGTGGTATGGGGAGCCCTTCCGGCCACAAGGACGCCGTGGTGAGCCCCCTAGAAGGCTGCTGGCCTCAGTGACTCCGCCGCTGCGCTGGTCTCCTGCAGTGGGAGAAAGGCAAAGGGGTTCCTGAAACACATGCCCCAGCCTGGAGAGCCCTAGATGAACTCAGAGTCTGAGGGCAGCAGGGAGCATAGCCATTGCAGGGTAGGCTGAATTGTTTGCTGAAGTCAGGCAACCTAGCCCCACCCTGTGTGACCCTGGGCGAGTCCCTTCCCTCTGCATCTTGAGTTTCCCATTTGTAGAATGAGCAGATCAGATCAGGTGACCTCTGAAGCCCCCTGCAGCCCTGCCACACTGTGATCCTGTGATTGCCCGCACTCCACCGGACTAGGCTGCACTGCACTGCCTGCAGGGGGCAGTGCTCAGCAGAGCCCTGACAGCCCCATCCTCCTCCTCCTCTTCCAGAGAACAATCTGGAACACTGGCAACTCCCAGCAATTACCCCATTCAAAGACAAGCAAATCGGAAATTAGCAGCTGCCGCCACCCCCACTGTAAATTACTGCGAGACACCTGAATAGAAGCATTTCTCCTGCGCCAGCGTTTCCATTGTCAGTCTGTGTAGCTGCCTCAGCCAATGAGGGAACAGGTCAGAGGTTCACGGTGTCCCACACACCATGGGAAAACCATCCTCACCGCTCGTCACACTCTGAGGCCCACTTCCTCCCCCACCCCATCCCAGCTATTCTGGTCAGCATTTCCAAGGACATCCCACCCTGGTCCCCGAGATCAGGCCCTGGATTGAGAAAACAGTGACACCCACCATGGAACTCACTTAATAGTCCACTTAATGATGGAGATGCATTCTGAGAAATGCATCGTTAGGTGATTTGGTCACTGCGCACTTACACACACACCTAGATGGGATAGCCTCCTACATGTACCTGGGCTATGTGGTATAGCCTGTTGCTCCTAGGATATACAACATCTGTACAGCCTGTGACTGTACTGAATACTGGAGGCAACTGTAACACCATGGTAAATATTTGTATATCTAAACAGAAAAGGTACAGTAAAAATACAGTATAAAAGATAGGAAATGGGCCACCTATATAAGGCATTTACGCAAATGGCACTTGCAAGACTGGACGTTGCTCTGGTGAGTGAGTGAGTGAGTGAGTGGTGAGCAAATGCGAAGTCCAGGACATCACTGTACACTACTGTAGACTTTATATACACTATACACTTGGGCTACACTACATTTATAAAATTATATTTTTCTTTCTTCAATAATAAATTAAACTTAGCTTACTGTAACTTTTTAATAATTTTTTTAACTTTTTGACTATTATGTTTATATAACATCTAGCTTAAAAGACATACACATTGTACAACTGTATCAAAATATGTTCTTTATATTCTTACAAGTTTTTTCCATTTTTCAATTTTTTAAAGTTATTTTTACTTTTTAAACTTTTTTTGTTAAAAATGAAGACACAAACACACACATTAGCCGAGGCCTACACAAGGTCAGGATCATCACGATCTCTGACTCCACCTCTGCATCTTGTCCCCCTGGAAGTCTCCAGAGGCAATTACATGCACGGAGCTGTTATCTCCTATGATAACAGTGCTTTCTTCTGGAATACCTCCTGAAGGATCTGCCTGAGGTTGTTTGACGGCCTTTTTTTAAAAGTATGAGTATATAATAATGATTTTTAAAATATAGTAAATACATAAACCAGTAAATAGTCATTATTATCATTATCAAATATTATGTACTGTACATAATTGCATGAGCTAGACTCTAAACAGCTGGCAGTACAGTAGGTGTGTTTACACAGGCATCACCATGAACATGAGAAATATGTTATTATGCCATGACAGTATGACCGCTACAATGTTACTAGACAACAGGAATTTTTCAGTTCCATTATAATCTCATGAACCACTATCAGACACACAAAATATTTGGTCACTGACCAAGATGTCATCATGCGCCACATGACTATACTCATTTCCCTCCCGCCGTCCTGGGTGAGGATGCAAGGGGCTTACTCAAGTCCAGCTCCCCACATTTGTCACAGTCATTCTCTGCCTAGGTCTGAGCTGGTGGGGGACTCTCAATGGAGCCTTGATACTTGCCCTGTCCCTTCCCTGTGCCTTCACACATGCTGTCCCTCTGTCTCCAAAAACCTTCCTCCCCTTACTCTTTTTGCCTGGTGAACTCATTCTCATCCTTCAGATCTCAGTCGAAATGACCCTCCTTGGAGGTGCCTTCTCCGGTACCTGGCCTATAATTCACACTCAATGACTAACTGGCAGAATTAATGCAGAATCACCAGGACAGACCCCCTGACTCCAATCAAATCATGGCAATTGCCCCATTCCACCTTTCTGGGCCACTGTTTGAAAATGGCCTCAGGGTAGAAAGTTAGGACTCACCTTATTTGTTTCAGTGCTCTCAGAAACCACAGTCCTGAGAGATCTATGTCCTGTAATTCTATGTCTGAAAGCAAGTGATTCATGTATTTCATCCGGATTTCTGGTTGCTTACAGCCAGAGGGCAGGTCAAGTACCAGTTACGCCATGGTGACCAGATGCCCAAACCCTTCATTTTAGAGATGAGGAAACTGGAATGCAAAGAGAAAAGACTGGCCTAACGTAGAGGTGGCCAAAGTATGCTCCAGAAAATACTAGGTATGCAAGATGATGAAGTGGTATTCCATTAAAAAGACGACGACAAAAAGGACAAGGAGAAATTCTACGTTTTAAGAGTCTGTGAAATTCTGGTTTAAACAAAAATAAATAGGTTTCTTCCCTGTAAGACCTCTCAGGGCTTTCAATACGTTTGTGTGCATTTTAAATCTCCAAGAGATGGGAGGAAATAGCAATGCTTCATAAACATCTTTTGCCATGGAGGGCTTTTTTTGTTTATTTCATAAAACATCCTCAGGGGAACACAGTGTAATGTGGAGACTGAAACATAGCTTCTGGAGTCAGACAGACCTCAGATCAAATCCCAGTGCTGCATGTGACCTTGGGATGTTACTTAGTCTCTCCAAACTTCTGTTTCCACATGTCAAATGAAGGTACAAATTGTTCCTCTCCAATATGATGATGTAAATATTCAATATGATCATACACAGAAAAGCACCCAGCCAGTGCCTGGCACATAGGGAACACCCACAGATGGCAGCTGTGGACATTCTTATATTTCCAATAAAGGGAAGAAACCCCTGAGCCCCAGAAAGCCAGGGCAGTTGGTTAATAAGAGTCCTGGTCCTTCTCCCCTATAAGATCTTGGGTCCAGGACCAGAAAGACAGCTTGAAAAGACAGTTCTAAGGAGCATTCACAACAAACACACAAGAGAAGTGCCAAGATTTCAAGAAGGATTTCTGCTGGCTCAGAGAACTCAGGAGAAGGAATCATTGAGATAGAGGGGCCCTAGTGCTCCTCATGGAAACGGGGTGGGCAGCTCCACAGAGAGTTCTCCAGGGAGAGGAGGGGCAAATGAGGATGGCAGGGAATCAGTTCATCCTCCTGAAAGGCTGGCAGCCCTGACAAAGCCACACAAGTAGATGTGCAATCAGCTCACAATGGCTGAGGACAAGCAAAAACATCCCACCTGGTTGAGAGCGTGATGGGAAGCCAGAGCCAGATAGGGGCAGCTTACAGCTGAGCCCAGGAACAACACAAGATGTTCTACAAATAAGACCACCAGAAAAGGACAGAATGGTGTACAATGATGTTCCCAAGAGGATCTTCCATTCCTGGGCCCAGAAGACAGGTCCTTACCCTCCTTGCTAAATCCCTGTGGGATTTGAGACACACTTCCTACCCCAGCCCGCTCCCTGCCCCTCAAGGACCAGCTGGCCCACATCCAACAGCCCCTGAGAAGGAGAGAGGTAAGAAGGCAAGAACCAGTCCCAGCTTCAAGGTCTCCACCCAAGGGTTCTCCCAGGCTATTTCCAGCTCCATCGTGACTGTGGAACACCTTCTGGGTGTAACCACTGGACAGTTGCTATTGTATGGGGAGGGCTGTTGCTCTGAGAAAAGAACAGAGTTTGGAGTCAGCAAGACCTGAATTTGAATTCTGGCTGAAGTCCAGAATTTGAATTCTGGCTCAAGGCTTTGACCTCTCTGGATCTCAGTTTCCTCATCTGGAAATGAGGATCCTCAGACATCCCTTGAAAATGGGCATTTTCCCACCACCCTCAGATGAAGACAAGCCCTCAGTTATAAAATTTGGTAGCACCCCAAACTTTTCTTTCACCATCTGTAATTAGCAAATAACTTTTCTAACGAGATACAGCCTGTATAACAGCTAACCATATCTAACATATTGAGTACTTTCACATGCCTGGCATGATTTTTAAGTCATCTAATCCCTAGAATATCCCTATGACGTGGGCACTATTATTATCCCCCTTGTGCAAATGAGGAAACTGAGGCCCAGAAGGGCTAAGTTACTTGCTCATTAAATAGCAGTTCTAGGATTCAAAGCCAGGCTTGAGTGCATCTGACTCTAGAACTCTGTAGTCTCCCCTGCCTCCCCATTCTGGTAAAGGGGCATTTGTGGGGATAAGAGAACCTGGCACTTATTTGACAAACCATTTGGCCAGAACCCACTGGCCACAGGGGTCAATAGTCCAGATGGATGGGGCCCAGAAGGATCTGAGGGCTTTCACAGGCAGGATTTCAGAGACAAGGCAGGCTCATTCCAACACCTTGGGAACCTCCCAGCTGGCTCTCCACATCAGTGCCACCATTTACCCAGCATGAGAAGTTACCTAATTTAAAATTTGCATATGAAGCATGCATCAAAATCAACATGGTTTTCCACTCTAAACCACAAAAATCTGGCCTCCACTATTTGGAAAATAAAAGAAGGAAGTGGAAGTCACTGGAAGGTAAAGGGAGAAATAGAGGGTCCTGAGGCTCAGTTCAGGTATCCTGGACATACCTGGAGCTTTCAGCTGTCACACTCTGCCCACACTCAGTGACCCTCCCTCCTCACCATCGGTCAAACCCTACCCATCTCGCCAGAACGCTGACCACACCTGCCTAAGGGTGTACCTTTCCAAAATTCTTACTG